TGGAGTAAAGGCTGTGTGATAGAAAGATTGCACAGCTTAGTGACAGCTAAAAGCCAGGACTCTGGAGCCTGCTAGCTATCCATGGTTTGAATATTGTTTCCACCAATCATGAGCTGTGGTTCTCTGGGCAAATGAGATAACCTCACAGCACCTACCTCATGAGGTATTAGGAAGATTAAATGAATTATAGCATAAGAAGTGCTTGGAACAGCGTATAATACATAATGAGTAGTCAACAAATATGGATCCTACTATTACTACTATTATCAGGTAGGTGAGTAGTGGGTGGGTACAGGTCTTGGAGCTTCCTATGTAAAAAAGAAGAACATTTATGCCAAAAGCCACTGAGAGTTTTTGAAGATTTGTAAAAATTGAGGAGACAGGGTGTGATTTGAATTTTGTGATTCTGGGACCAAACTGAAGACTGAGGAGGCAGTCCAGATGAAAAGAAATAAGGACTGAAACTAAGTCAATTCTAGGAGTTGTGGAGAGGAGAAAGAACACCTAGGGAGAGTTATCATGCTGAATCATAGGACTTGGCACCTAACTGGGTTAGAGAGAGGGCCAAATCTCAGTTGTCAGGCAGGGGAAAGTGTATGAGTAAAGATATGTCACTGAGAATGGGAATATCAGGAAAGAGGTGGATTTGGAGGAAGATGAGGAGTTTAGTTCTGTACATGGTATCTTTGGTTTTAGACATGTAAGTTTGAAGAGAACAGACAAGTACCAATGCCCTAGTAAGCACTGGAACTGAGAAGAATCCTAGCCAATGTATTAAGTCAAGATGTTTATACTTCTGGGCTTAAGAACAATAATTTTTTTTGTTGATTATTTAAGATGCTACCTATACCTTAATTACAGATTGTCACAGACTTTGACTCTGGAGTTCTCTCTTGTCCAGCAAGACAGCAGACACAGAATTGAATACAAGAGAGGCTAATGTTCGGGAGGAGACAAGAGCCCCGAGTAAGGGTCCTTGCTCCATATTTATTAGGATCAGAAGGCTTACAAACGTGATGGATGTGCAAAAAGAGATAATAAAACAGTGATCATTAACTCAAGTGTGTGAGAGAAAGGGGTTTTCAAAGATATGTGGTATTAGGGATTTCAGTCAATACAAAACAAAATTGCAGCACCGAGCAGACGGCTGTTTACTGCAGGTGCCAGGTGCCATGTCTGTTTACCTTAACTTGTCTAGGGGATAAGACAGATGGAGGACGCTATCTCAGGGTTAATAAGGCATTTATGTATGTATGTGTGTGTGTGTGTGTGTGTGTGTGTGTGTGTATGTGTGTGTGTATGTATGTATATGTGTATATATGTATGTATGTATGTATTTATTTATTTTTGTTTTTACTGATTAGCTCCAGGTAATTTTGCCTTGCTGTGGAGGTCTTTTTTTTTAATTAAATATAATTTATTGTCAAATTGGTTTCCATACAACACCCAGTGCTCATCCCTACAGGTGCCCTCCTAAATGCCCATAACCCACTTTCCCTTCTCCCCCACCCCCCCATCAACCCTCAGTTTGATCTCAGTAAGAGTCTCTTATGGTTTGTCTCC